CATGCTCCTCCCGCCCCCCTCGTCCCGTGGCTGCCACTGTCCTGGGAGCGCCAGCTTTGAGGCCCGTGTCTGGGACGCCCCCCTGGCCTTTGACCAGCGGGGGTCCTCTCGTCCCTGCCGTCCCCAAGCCCCAGCCCCACTTGGTGATGGTCCCAGTCACGGTGCCACCTCGGTTGTGTGAGTCCCTGAGCCGCGGCCCAACCCCAGGCGCGGGCGGGCTGCGTGCTGCATCTCACGCCACTCGGGGTGGTGAGCGCCCACCGTGACCGCGCGGGGCCTGGGGTCTTGGCGGGTGGGCGGGGCTCGGGGACGGCCCGGGGGTAGGTTCGGAGTCCAGCCTCACCACCACCAGCTGTGTGACCTCGGGCCGGCAACATGGCCCCTCTGAGCCTCGGCGTCCTGCGTGGCGCGGGGCCCCGGGAGGATGGCCGCGACCATGCATGTCCTTGCTTCGCTCGGCGCCTGGCAGCTGGTCCGCGCTCCAGGGGCGCCACCGCAACGGTTCTGATCCCGGATCCCGGGGCTCACTGTTGTTTTGCTGTCGCAGAAGAAGGGCGTGAAGCGGAAAGCAGACACTACCACGCCCACGACGTCCGCCATCACCGCCAGCCGCAGCGAGTCACCCCCGCCGCTGTCGGACCCCAAGCAGGCCAAGGTGGTGGCACGGCGGGAGAGCGGGGGCCGCCCTATCAAGCCGCCCAAGAAGGACCTGGAGGACGGCGAGGTGCCCCAGCACGCAGGCAAGAAGGGCCGGCTCTCGGAGCACCTGCGGCACTGCGACAGCATCCTCAAGGAGATGCTGTCCAAGAAGCATGCAGCCTACGCCTGGCCCTTCTACAAGCCGGTGGACGCCGAGGCCCTGGAGCTGCATGACTACCACGACATCATCAAGCACCCGATGGACCTGAGCACCGTCAAGGTAGGTGGGTGGTGAGCCAGCCGGGGCCCTCTTCCCCAGTCTGGGCGGCCCCTGGCACCTGCAGGGCGGCCTGACGTCCTGAGGGGCTGTCGTGGTGCTGATGTCTTGTGCCGGCCCGGGGGCAACTCAGCAGGCTTGGGGCCTTGCCCGGCTCCCTTGGCCTGCCCTCCAGCGGCAAACGGGGCCTCAGGGCTGGCCCGGGGCCCTGGCGTGGGTCTGGCAGGGTCAGGGAGGAAGGTGTGCTCTGCCCCACGCTCACTGAACCGGCAGCTTCCTCGTCATCTATTCCTCTTGAGCCGGTTTCGTCATCTCGTTCATTTTCATCCCGGCGCGTTTGCAGGTCTTTGTAATAACGTTAGGCAAGGTGGCCCAGCCCCTCCGTGGACAGAAGTGGGCGCTGGAGAGGGTGGTGGCGGAGCTGAGACCAGGAGCCCCGGCCTCCCGATTCCCGCAGCAGGGTCTTCCTGCACTGGGGGCTTCCTCCTTGGCTTTTGTGGGTTTTCCCCGGGCCAGGTCAGTTGTGTACAAGCAGAGAAGAGCAGGTCTGGGCCAGGCAGAGATGGAGAAAATTCCCCGGCTGGCAGCGGCAGCCTCGAGGGCAGGAGACCTGGGGTCTTCCCTGAGTGCGTGCAGGAGGGGTTCCTGAGCCCCCGTCGGGCTTGGGCCCCAGCACAGCTGCCCTTCCTCGGTCTGGATCGGTCTCTTGACAGTCTGAGGAACGTCCCTGGCTGTTGGACCGTTACCTGGAAAGGTAACCCCACAAAAGGGGCAGGTGGTTTCTTTGCACCGACGGGGTCTGGGCCCTGAGCCGCTGGGCTCAGTCACTCTGCCTCGTGTACCTGGACACTGCCTCGTGTATACCTGTCTGGGGCAGACTCTCTCCTTAATGGAAGTCTTCCTCCCCGCCAAGGGACAGGACAGACCTGGCCATCTAGGGCAGTGGTTCCCGGGGAGCTGGCCGAGTCAGGCGGGCCTGGCTGGGCTGGCTGACCGAGCAGCTTCCTCGCCTTCTCTGATGTTCATCCTAACTGCGAGGGCAGGGCTCTGGCTTTCTTGGACTCGCTCAGTGCTGCAGTGGCCCTGCTCCTCCTGGGAGCCCAGGAGTGTCAGCTGCTTTTCTTTGACTGATTTTTTTCTTTTAATTTGTGTGAGATAGGAACAGAGGATCAAAAATCCAAGCAAAGCAGAGGTGGGTGGAGAGAAGACCTAACCCCTGGTATCGTTGCCACCCTTTCCAGAGATGTTTCCAGCTAATCATTTGGTTACATCTTTCTGGATTAGCTCCTGGCTCAGGCTGGCTCTTTCCAAGCAGGTTTTGACTGTGGGGCAGTGGTACTTGGGCTCCCAGATGCACCAGGGAAGTGGCCGGCTGTCAAATCAGGGCCCGAGTCTGAGAATCTTGCAGAAGTTGAGAGGATCTTGGGTGCCCATTTCTCCTTCCTGGCTGAGCTACCCCAGACTGGGGAGGCTGTGCAGAGGGCTGGAGCCAGGCAGCCCCAGTGCTGTTGGAAGCTCTCCGGGGGGGCAGAGGAGGACGGTGTGTCCTAGGCTGTAGAGGGTGCAGGTCCTGGAGTCTGACCACCATCAACCCCACCATCGAGGCCAGGACTTTGTTAGTCTAGGTGCCGGTGAGGTAGGTGGTTAGGCTCCAGCCCACAATGTCCCGCTGCAGCAGAGCATGGCCCCCAGGATGAGCGGGCACCTCATGCCCCCGACACGAGGTCCCTGACTGATGAGCTCATATCTGTGTGAACCCATCCAGGCGTGGGGAGCTCTCTCCCTCAAGAGCCGTTGCCCCGTCTGCCCCAATCTTAGCTGCCACATTGTGGTCCCTGGCTGGCTGCACTTCTGTCCCCACCTGCACAGCCAGTCATCCCGTGCTCCCGGTGAGGCAGTGGGACGACCTGGTGCTCTGTGAAGCAGGCCAGCTGACAGCACCTGGATTCTCAGGGGAGAAAATTAAACGTCTCATTCTGAGAACTGAGCAGCCCCCCTAAACTGGTAGAGAGCGACTTTTCGCCAGAAGTTGCTCGCTCGCCACCGGAGCTCCTGCCAACAGGGGTGTCGGCGTGTGAAAAGTTAGCCAAAACGTAGAGCTGGGGACTTTGGTTGCGGGAGCTGGGACTTTGGGGAGCACCTTTTTCTTTCTCCCTGAGTGTCAGCCTCTCTGTGGGGTCCTGGGCCCTCCCCTCCAAGCCCTCGGGGCCACCCTTCTGCCTGCTCCCTGGGCTCCCAGGCGAGGTCTCGGGCTGGCAGTGGGCGTGCGCAGCGGTGCCCTCACGCCCCGCGGCTTGTGCGTTGCAGAAGAAGATGGACAGCCGCGAGTACCCGGACGCACAGGGCTTTGCAGCCGACATCCGGTTGATGTTCTCCAACTGTTACAAGTACAACCCCCCAGACCACGAGGTGGTGGCCATGGCCAGGAAGCTGCAGGTAACCCCAGGTGCTCTATGTGGGGAGGGGCCACCTGGGCACAGGTGGGATCAGCAGCTCAGGGCAGGCATCCAGGAAAGACGTGGGTGTCTGGGAGGGCATGTCTCCTGGGGGAGGGGCGGGGGGTCTGGGGATGTTCATTAAGGGCCTTAGGAAGTAGGCAGAGTCCGAAATTTAGATGATTGAAATCTTCAGGGTCAGAAGCACTCACCATCGTCTTCCCTTAGTTTACATTTTAACTGTCAATGATAGATGATGTCAATAAAAATATATATTATTTTTCAGATTATTTCCCCTTATAGGTTATTGCAAAATATTGAGAGTAGTTCCCTGTGCTATACGGTAGTTCCTTGTTGATGATCTATTTTATACATAGCAGTGTGTATGTGCTAATCCCAAACTGTTCACCTGCACAGCCAGTCATCCCGTGCTCCCGGTGAGGCAGTGGGACGACCTGGTGCTCTGTGAAGCAGGCCAGCTGACAGCACCTGGATTCTCAGGGGAGAAAATTAAACGTCTCATTCTGAGAACTGAGCAGCCCCCCTAAACTGGTAGAGAGCGACTTTTCGCCAGAAGTTGCTCGCTCGCCACCGGAGCTCCTGCCAACAGGGGTGTCGGCGTGTGAAAAGTTAGCCAAAACGTAGAGCTGGGGACTTTGGTTGCGGGAGCTGGGACTTTGGGGAGCACCTTTTTCTTTCTCCCTGAGTGTCAGCCTCTCTGTGGGGTCCTGGGCCCTCCCCTCCAAGCCCTCGGGGCCACCCTTCTGCCTGCTCCCTGGGCTCCCAGGCGAGGTCTCGGGCTGGCAGTGGGCGTGCGCAGCGGTGCCCTCACGCCCCGCGGCTTGTGCGTTGCAGAAGAAGATGGACAGCCGCGAGTACCCGGACGCACAGGGCTTTGCAGCCGACATCCGGTTGATGTTCTCCAACTGTTACAAGTACAACCCCCCAGACCACGAGGTGGTGGCCATGGCCAGGAAGCTGCAGGTAACCCCAGGTGCTCTATGTGGGGAGGGGCCACCTGGGCACAGGTGGGATCAGCAGCTCAGGGCAGGCATCCAGGAAAGACGTGGGTGTCTGGGAGGGCATGTCTCCTGGGGGAGGGGCGGGGTGTCTGGGGCCCTCGTCCAAGGGCACGTTTCCCCTGAGCGGCGGCCGAGTGGCGGCCAGGCCCCGAGCCTGCTCCCCAGGGACGTGGGGGCCCAGAGGCCAGTTTCTGCCTCCTGGGAGCTGCAGGCTCAGGTGGGCAGTGGCAAGCAGGTGGGGGCCAGCAGGTGTTCTAGCCAGGGCAGAGATGGAGAGAAGGCAGATGCCTGCTGGCCTGCGTTTCACCGCGTGCCGGGGGCCCTTCGTCAGGAGGGTGCGGCCCTTGGGCGTCATAGCGGGGGACGGCTGTTTGTGCAGCCCGTTGCTTTCCCGACCACGAGGCGGACGGCACGTGGGAGAAACGGGCCTGCAGGGAAGCGCAGTCTGGCCTTCAGTGGTGGGACTTTGCGTACATGCACACGGATCTCACAGGCCGAGTGTGCGCTAGTGTGCGTGCACCCCTGTGCATGATTATCTGTCAGAGCCTGGGGGCTGCCACGGGTTTCTGTACGGGCCAGTACACCGAGCTTGTTCTTATCTCTCTTTGCCATGCATCACGTAGCCTGTTGCTTTTGTAAATACAGGACCCAGAATGTTGTCCTGTAAGACGTTCCCAGTCCCTTTCTCAGAACCCTTTTGAAAACCCGGTACGGTAACTCGGGAGCATCCCTGGTCACCCAGGCCCCAGACGGGGCCTCAGGGGGAGCCTCCTTCCAGGCCTCTGGGTGCCTGCCCTAATCTTCCTTACCTTCCTGCTGCCTGTGGGCCCTGGCTGCTGCGGGCTGCGCCCTCTGTGCACTGGCTCCCACTGGGGAGTGTGATAGAGCGGTCCTGGTGGTCCCAGTACACGCAGAGGAAGCCACCAGGACCCACAGTTTCATACCAAGACCATGAAACCGAAAGGCTCTGCAAAGCCCCGTGCTGTCATTGCTCTGTTGATGCTCCTAAACCTTGCGAGTAGCTGCACGAGGAAGCCAGGCGGCGCTGGCAGCAGACGGGCCGAGGGCAGCGGCTCTGATTCTGTTCTGGCAAAAGGTGGTCTCTGCGGTGTGGCCACAGAGGTTGGGAATCTTAATTACCGATGACTGTTTAGTAATTGGCTATTGATTGTGTCAAGTCAAGCTGGGTGGGTTTAGAGCCTGATGCTGCAGCAGCCTGATGTAGACCCACCCCCAGCCCCTGCCGGGGAGCGGGGTGGGGGGGGCGTTTGCCCAGAGCAGGCCAGGTCATGGCCTTGCGTAGCAGCGTACCTCTGAGATGTCTTTACCCCAGGAGGAGATTCTGGGGGACCAGGACCCAGAGTAGGTTCTTACGGGAGCCGGACGCCTGGTTGGTGGGGCTGCACCTTTTGCGTGTAAACCAGGTGTATGTGGCTTCAGGCGTCTGAGCTAGCAGAGAGAAGTCTCCCTTCGTGGCTGCTCATCCTGTCTGAAATGAACCTGGGCCACCGCGGGGGAGGGGACCTTTGCTGAGCGCGTGCTCCCAAGGCTGTGTAGGAGCTGGCAGTTTGGATAGGACAAGACTTTGGCCTTTTGAGCCAACTTTTGGACCCAACTCAGAACGAGATGTGATACTAGAGTAATGTCGCAGGGGAGAGAAATGGGAAAGCGAAACGAGCTCCCAGATCCAGTGGCTGGGGGGCCCCAGAAAAGGGTCAGAGCTCAAAGGAAGGCCCTCTCACTGTCTGTCAGTAGGTGGCAGCCTTGGACCTGGATGCTGAAAAGACTTGGCAAGCCGTGGACAGGAGGTGGGGTGTCTAATAAAGGAGCTTGTGTGCCAGCTCCTAAAAGGCTGTGTCTGTGGCCGTTGACTCTGCGTTCTCTGGCCCTGGACCCGCGCTCAGGGCCTGGGGAGGGAGGGACAGAGAGCAAGCCGGGGTGGGCGGCGTGGGGGCGGCCCAGCGCCCTGGGCAGGCTGGGTCCAGTCTCCCCGACTCCCCGGGGGCTGCCCACGGGCGTCCAGGACCCAGGCGGCCCCTGCTGTCCCACAGGACGTGTTTGAGATGCGGTTTGCCAAGATGCCGGACGAGCCGGTGGAGGCGCCCACGCTGCCCGTGCCCGCGGCCCCTGTGGTCAGCAAGGGCGTGGAGAGCAGCCGCAGCAGCGAGGAGAGCTCCACGGACTCAGGCAGCTCGGACTCGGAGGAGGAACGGGCCACGCGGCTGGCGGAGCTGCAGGAGCAGGTGAGTGGCCGCGGCCGGGCCGGGGACCGCGGGGGCCCAGTCCCGGCCGGGCCTTGATCCGACGTTTGCCCTGGTCACCCCCCACCCCCACCCCAAGCCACAGCCGTCCTCCGCGGCGGTGTCGCTGGCAGGGCACCCGGCGAAGGTGTCGGCTCCGAGGGCCCCCTCGGCAGTGCCTGCAGGCCCGGGGCCCTGTGAGCCCGACCGGGTCGGGACGTCCCTGGAGCCCTGGAGCCTCCTTCTGCTCCAGAAAGGTCTGGGAGGCACCTGCGGAAGCCGCAGCCGTGGGGCTCCACGAGCCTGTCTGGCTGGGGGCGGGCGCGGGCTCCGTAGCTCTGCCAGAGCGAGGTTGTCCTGCCTCGGCCTCTGACCACCTGTGAGTCGGCCCTCCCCACCCCTTCGCGCGCCTCACGTGCAAAATGGGACCAAGAGGTGCTGGATTCCTGGGGGGGGTGGGGGGCCTCCAGCAGGGAGGAGACAGTGGGGTAACAGTGACCCTGCCGGCACCCCGGTGGGGCTGGGCGTCTGAGCTGAGCCTTGTCAGGGATGACGGTGCAGGGAGCACGGCCCTGAGGTGTAGCTGTCGGGCCGGGGTCCCTCCCACGCCGCGTGACGTGGCTGGCGTGTGTGAGCCCAGTGCAGTCTTGGCCCGTCCACCTGCTAGAGGCTGGGGGCACCGTTTCCTCGCCCGTGCGGCGTGAGACTCCCCTCGGGGTCTGCTGAGGTGAGAAGCGTGTAGAGCACGTAGCACACTGGCAGCCACTTGCTGGACGAGATGAGTGTCCCCTGCTGGCACTGGACCATTTTGACCCTGCAGAACTGCCGTGTAACATCCCAGCAGCTGCCCACGAGTGGAAAGCCTCCTCTGCGCAGGCGTTTAAACCTCGCCCTGGAGAGGCTCCCTCATCTGGAAAACAGAAACTAGCAGGAAAACCAGGAGGCACCGTTTATCGAGCCCTTCGGGTGCCACCTGGCCTGCACTTCGGGCGGGGAGACCGCGGCCCAGCGGCTCGCCCACCGTCGCAGGGGTGGGGAGGGCCAGACGGGACCTGTCTGGCTCCCCGGCTCCCCTGCCCGCATGGTGGCGGCAGCTCCTGGGCCCCCGGGCCCCCGCCCACGGCGCCCTGGGGCCAGCCCTGGGGAGCCCCGCTCAGCTGCCTGTGTCTTCCAGCTGAAGGCTGTGCACGAGCAGCTGGCCGCCCTGTCTCAGGCCCCGGTGAACAAGCCAAAGAGAAAGAAGGAGAGAAGAGACCGGAAGAGGAAGGACAAGGACAAGGAGCGGCACAAGGCCAGGCCCGAAGAGGAGAAGGCCAAGGCGGCCCCGCCCGCCAAGCAGGCCCCGCCCAAGAAGGCTCCCGCCAAGAAGGCCAACAGCACGACCGTGGCTGGCAGGTGGGCTCCGGCGCCCCGTGTCCTGGACGCCCGTGTGGCGGGAGGATGCTGGATTCGGGGCTCTGTCCTGGTGACCTGGACCCTGGGCTGTCACGGGGAGATGGGCTGGGGGCGGGGGCGGCCCTCGTCTTGCCCACCTCGTGGGAAGACTGGGAGGACCAAACGAGATCTCTGCCTCGACAGCGCGGGCTCCGGAGGGCGGCGCTCAGCTCCCCGTGGGGCCAGCCTCAGTCACGGGCATGGGAGACCTCAGCGTCTAGAGGCTTCGGGGACATTTTCCCGGTCTGGGCCTGGGAGTTTGCTTTGGGGGGTCTTGGCGCTGTGTCCTGGGCCCTTGGCACCCCATCCCCTCGTGGCCTGGTCGGCGGAGGGTCGGGGGTGGAGGTGCGCCTTGGCACAGAGCTCCCTGGTCCCCACGGCCTTCACTCAGCCCCCGCCGTGGCCACGCGCTGCCCCGAGGAACGCCTGCCGCAGACGAGCAGCGACGACATGGGGAGGTGAGGGTGGTGGGAAGGCACGCGGGGCTGGCCGCCTCTCCCGGCGGGGTGGAAGGAGGGCGTCCTGGAGGAGGGGCGACGGCTGCACAGAGGGTCCGGATGGGGTTCCAAAAATCAGGAACAGCGGGCACAGAGCTGTAGAGGCCAGTGGAATGTGTTCCTCGTGGGAATGAGGATAAGGGTGGGCACTGCTGAAGAACAGAGGCCAGGTTGGGAAGAGGGGAGGGTTTAGGCTGCCGAGGCTGGCCGGCTCGGTTCAGGTGTTTGCAGTTCATTCTCCAGTGAAAGTGGTCAGATCCTGGCCAGTGCGGAGGATGGATTAGCGAGAGGCAAGAATGGGAGGAAGGATGCCCTCTGGAGTTGCCATGGTCACGCAGGCAGGAGAGGCCGGTGTGGCCATGGGGGTGGAGGTGTGTTGCTTTGAGAACTGTCTGTGAGGCAGAGTGGGCAGGCCTTGGTCCCTGGACGTAGGAGGAGCGGCATGCAGAGCTGGGGACTTGGGCTTTGGTAGCTGGGCGGGCAGTGGCACCATCGAGAGGGGCAGTGAGAACGGTCAGGGGTTTCCTCCTCCCTTTTGCAGGGGGAGGCAGAAATCAGCTTCCCTGTTCTGTCTCTGGCTTCGGTGTCTGTACAATGCTGGCCTCAAAAAGGAGTTGGGAAGTGTTCCCTTGCCTTCTGTTTTCTGGGGTAGATTTATAGCCTTGGTATATTAATTCTTAAATGTGTGATAGAATTCACTAGTGAAACCACCTGGGCCCGGAGTCTCACTGTTGGAAGGTTGTTAACCACGAACTCAGTCCCTTTGAACGTTCCCCACAAATCTGATATGTTGTGATTTCATTTAAGTTCAAAATATTTTTCAGTTCCCTTCAGGCGTCCTTTCTGACCGTGCATTATTTAGAAGTGTGTTGTTTGGTTTACAGATATTTGGAGATTTTTCCAGATATTTTTCAGTAACTGATTTCTAGGGTCAGAGAACACACTTTGTATGCTTTCAACATTTTAAAGTTTGTTAGGATTTTATGGCCCAGAACACTGTTTTGGTGAACGGGCCATGTATGCTTGAAAAGAACGTGTATTCTCCTGCTGTTGGGTGGAGTGTTGTATAAACGTCAGTTAGAAGATTAAAAAAAAAAATCTAAAAAAAAAAAAAAAGACACAAATGAACTTATTTACAAAACAGAAACAGACTCACAGACTTAGAGAACAAAGTTATGGTTACCAAGGGGCACGGGGGTGGGGGGGGAGGGATAGACTGGGAGTTTGGGGTTGACACGGACACACTGCTACATTTAAAACAGATAACCAACAAGGATCTCCAGTAGAGCACGGGGAACTCTGCTTAATATTCTGTAATAACCTAAATAGGAAAAATTTGAAAAAGAATAGATACGTGTATATAAAAAAAAAAAAACTTTAAACCCCAAACAGACGAAAACATGTCAATTAATAAGTTAATTTGGTTGATGGTGGTGTTGGGATCGTCTCTGTTCTGCTGATTTGTTCTATTAATTACCAAGAGGGAATTGTTGAATTCTGCAAGTAAAGCTTTTTTTTTTTTTTGGGGGGGGGTACGCGGGCCTCTCACTGCTGTGGCCCCTCCCGTTGCGGAGCACAGGCTCCGACGCACAGGCTCAGCGGCCACGGCTCACGGGCCCAGCCGTTCCGCGGCATGTGGGATCCTCCCGGACCGGGGCACGAACCCTCGTCCCCCGCATCGGCAGGCGGACCCGCAACCACTGCGCCACCAGGGAGGCCCTCCATCAGCTTTTGTTTATATATCTTGAAGCTTGGTTTTAGATGCACACACCTGTAGGACTGTGATGGTCAGTTGACTCTTTTATCATTATACACCGTCCCTCTTTTTCCTGGTAGCATTCCTTTTTCTGAAGTCTACTTTGTCTGAAATTGTTACAGCCATTGCAGTTTTCTTTTGATCAGTATGTACACGGAATATTTTCCCCGCATCTTTTTACTTTTAACCTACCTCTGTCATTATATTTCAAGGGGGGTTGTGTAGATTAGATAGCATATAAATTGGGTCTTGGTTCTTACCCAGTCTGAGCACCGCTTTCTTTTAATGGGTGTGTTTAGACCATTTATATTTAATGTAATTGTGGATACAATTTGATTTCCACCTACCATGCCATGATTTTCTGTCTGTCCCTGCTGTTTATTCCTCTGTCCCCCTTCCTGCCTTCTTCTGGGTTATTTGAATACGGAGACGAGTTTGACCTGTCGTGCTTGAGATGGCCTGTGGGGCATTGAGGGGAGCTGACCACCACGGTTGTTTCCTGGCCAAGGCCTCCCTAGGCCGGTAGCAGCCTCTGCTCTGACCTCTGGAGCAGGGTCTTCCATGTCCCTGGAGATGCATGTGCGTCTCCAGGCAGTCGCCTGGCTTCTCTGTCTGGGGTATCACTTTGGGCTGCTCCTTGGTAAGAGAGCCTGGTCCTGGAGAGGAAGAGGGCCGGCGGGCAAGGGGTCGGGCTCTGGGGGGGCAGGGGGGGAACTCGGGGCTGTGGGGCAGGGGCTGGGTGGGGTAGGGGGCTCCAGGGATGGGGACGGGGGGCTCCACGCCATGACGCTCCTTGCCTTCTGCCGCAGACAGCCAAAGAAGGGCGGCAAGCAGGCGTCGGCCTCCTATGACTCGGAGGAGGAGGAACAGGGGCTGCCCATGAGCTACGATGAGAAGCGCCAGCTCAGCCTGGACATCAACCGGCTACCGGGGGAGAAGCTGGGCCGGGTAGTGCACATCATCCAGTCGCGGGAGCCCTCGCTCAGGGACTCCAACCCCGACGAGATAGAGATTGACTTTGAGACTCTAAAACCCACCACTTTGCGGGAACTAGAGAGATACGTCAAGTCTTGTTTACAGAAAAAGCAAAGGAAGCCATTCTGTAAGTCGTCAGGACGGGGTGCCTTGCTGCCGCCCCTGCCCATCACCCGTTCAGTCCCGGAGCAGACAGCCAGGCAGCCCCGGGGGTGGGAGTGGCAGTGGGTCGCACGCTGCCAGGCTCCTCGCCCCTCTCCTGCCTTGTGCCCTGAGGATGCAGGGACACAGCTTCCGTCCGCTCAGCTGGGGGCGGGGCTTAGCTGAGACCCGCTGCGGCCCCACCCCAGCCGGAGCCCTTCTGCCCCTGCTCCCGGGCAGGTGGGCAGCACTTGTGTGCCTCATCCTTCCCCAGAGCAGGCAGGACCCGTGGGTCGGTCCCCAGCCCCATTCGTTCAAATGCTGGCTAAGGCCCTCACCACAAGCCTTCCTGAGGCTCCGTTTGGGGCCTGGGCGGCAGGCGACCTGTCAATGGTTCCCTGCCTGGGCAGACCAGTTCCCTTTGCCTGGGGTGGAGGTCCAGAGGCCTCCCAGGACGGACGATTGCACTGGCTCAGGCTCACCCTGGAAGTCGATGACTTCACTGGACGGGAACGAGTCGCTGCCTGGGTCGGTGGGTCCTGGGGAGTGAGAGGAAGGGCAGGAGGCCCCAGGCAGCCCCACGGTGGCAGGAGAACAGGGCAGCCGCCCGGCCCTGAGGAACAACACCCAGGGTGCACCTGCTGCTGTGTGTGGCC